GAGAGAGAGAGGGAGGGAGAGAGGGAGGGAGAGAGAGAGAGAGAGAGAGAGAGGGAGAGAGAGAGAGAGAGAGAGAGAGAGAGAGAGAGAGAGAGAGAGGGAGGGAGGGAGAGAGGAGAGAGAGATCAGGAATGCTTTATTTTAAACTTGTCATGGAGCATATTAAAATTTCATTTCAAAATAAATATTATAAAAGCATCAAATTATTAATGAACAAAATTTCAATAGTTGAGTATCATTTTTCTCATTTTAGGCTGCACAATAAAAGCTTGGAAAGAAGACTATTATTGTGACAAAGTTCATGATTTGTAATAATTGTGATCATTGTAGGCAACTTTAGCATGAGTGTATATTAATGGTATCGTATTGTTATAAGATTTTGCAAAATAATTGAGACAATCGGAACGACCGTTGTAATGTCCGCGTCTCATTGATAGACCTCTATAACCACCACCTGGAGGGAAGGAGAGAGAGGGGGGAAAGAAATAAGGATCATATCGTCATTAAATTAAATAATTATATACTATAATTAAATACTAATAATAATAAGACTAATTTGTATTGAGGGTATATTGACCGATTTCAGTCATGGTAGATTAATTGGGTAATTAAATAATCAAATTTGTGTGTTTCTTATATGCCTACATACACATCATGCATTCCATCAAGAGTTTAAAATACCCTGAAGAGAAGAGATTAATGAAGCAGTAATTACATGTACATGCATAGTAGAAGTTACATCATAAACATATACTGTACATTATAGGCAATAATGTTCATGAGTTTTTTCCTCTAAAAAGGAGCTTGTTATTCAAATGTACATGGACATTGCATTTACAACAACATTCATTGAACTTCAAATGACAGGGTATTTTTAATACAATACTAATAATAATAAACACGGCTCCAATTATGGATGCTACTAAGCTTAACTCACTTAATTAGTTGGGAAGGAGTTCAAATGAGTACAAACATTGGTTGATTACTACTAAGAATCTAATCAGCTTGATGACGTAAAAATATAACTATTTTATTTAAAATTATAAATACTTTATCTAAAATTGAAATACATTGTACTTCACCTAATCCTAATCCATAATATTTATAACTATCATTAACTGCATTCCATTGCCCTAACTTACGGTTGGTAGCCTCAAGGTTAATAGGAAACCTCTTAGCATTGACAGATACACAGCAAGTTTGAGGAAAGGACGTCCTTCGCAGGAAATCCGTGACCATGAGACACATGGCGATGTCTTCACAGTTCATATTCTTATTGATGTAGTCGTAAATGGCGCTGGGAAGGAAGTGGGGTTGGTGATACATTTCCAAGTAGGTCTTTGACATGATGAATGTTGCCGAGATCATTGCAGAGTAGCCATATTTCTCAGATTGGAGACCTTTCTTGGTCCCGTAGAAAAAGGTCCCATCTGGTAGAGTATCGTACGTCCGTTCTTCAAAGCCAACTATCCTGTGCCGAAATTGCTAAGAAGAAAAAAAGGAAGAGGAGAGTAGAGTTTTTTTTTGCTATTTAAAATTCTATTTTTGTTCTTGACACCTGGAAGTGTTAAGCTAACAAGCTTATTACAAGTGTATACATGCTAACGTTACAAGCAAACAACAATATTTGTGCAAGCTTCCACTGTCACTTCCTCTCCCTCCCTCCCTCTCTCTCTCTCTCCCCTCCTCTTTCCCTCTCTCTCTCTCCCTCTCTCTCCCTCTCACTCTCTCTCTCTCTCCCTCTCTTTCTCTCCCTCTCTCTCCCTCCCTCTTTCCCTCTCTCGGCTAGGGCTATGGTAAATTACCCTGGCATAATTGGAGCATAACGGGTCGAAATTTATGGCCCTCTACCCCTGACCACATGATTTCAAATTCAATATGGCAGGTGGTACTAGTATTAGTACAACAACAGTTGAACAACCCAACTGCTTAGTACCCCCACCTATGCAAGCATGGCAAGCCCAATGACTAGACTATTCTATTTTCCAGTGACTCAAGATCATTGAAAACATTTTCAGAATCTGGCATTATTATAACAGATGCATGACCATGTAACTTGATGGTTGGATAATTGAGTAAAGCTTAAAATATGACCATAATTAACTATAATGAGTTTAATTGGATTGACATGGAACTTCAAAGCATAATAGGATGGAATTTAAAGAAGTGCTTAAAATGATAAAGGCAACCCCCCTTCTCTCTCTCTCCCCCCCCCCCATCTCTCTCATCTCCCTCCCTCTCTCCCCCCATCTCTCTCATCTCCCTCCCTCTCTCTCTCATCTCCCTCCCTCCCTCTCTCTCTCATCATCTTCTTACCTGCCATGTTTCAAATCCAAACAATAGATCAGGGATAAGAACTTTCCTATCATCATCAATGATAGCAACACCTACAGAAGACAAAAATGAAAGAACAAGTCACTACAATTGTAAACAGCTGGAACTGGAAGCGGGCAACAAACCAACAAGCCAATTCTAACTAAATAGACAAAACTAAAGCCCAACATCCACTAGGCAACTTCGTTGAAATCAACAGAAATGTGGCCGCCNAAAAGTTAGAACACTGTTCTACTTTTGGCAACAAAGTTGACATACATCAATGTAACCACAAAGTTGCTTTCAAAAAGTTGCCATAGTGGCTTTATGCACAAATAATGCCCACATCCCCACCAATTATAACATACACTCGGTCTCAATCTCTTTATAAGGCACAAATCGATTCGTGAGTTTATTCTCTTTCGAAGTGATAAACTCCAATTTCGTTTGTCCACATGGGATCTTTGTAAGACTTTCGGGTATCGGAGTCATGACGTCGTTCCATACAATGAGGACTTTATGGAGTGAGGGGCCGGCAGAACAATAATGAGGTATTGTACGCTGTAAAATGGCCGTCCTTTTATACGTCATTATTAAAATGGTGAACTGCTCTTGATGCAAATCTGATACGGTCTGCCTAAAAATCCGCCAGTAATATTTCATGTCTATTTCTTTGGGTGAAACAGCAGGGAGAGAAGGAGTAGAAAGCCCAGAGCTTCTCCTGCTATTTGTAGTGACTGTTAATGGCGTTGTAGTCGTAGGGATGGTAGTGGTAGGGGAGCTAGGTTGTTTTTCTGGTAGCTCTGAGTTTTTCTCTGCATCTTTTGGAGTCTTTTGTTGAGACAAGTCCGCCCGCTGCTGTTGCGGCGAATGCTGCGCGCATATGAAGTTATGCGTCGAGGGATAGTAGACGACCTTTTGCTGTGTGTTGACGGTCCATCCCTGTAGACAGATGAGGAAGAGACAGGTTAAGGAGAGAAGAGCTATGGACAGCGTTTTCTTGTCCATTTGCATTTTCTGTGTGAGAATTATCAGCCACGCCCGCCTCGTAAACATGGTTGAGCCACGCCCACTTGATTAATTGCTTGTAGGGCTACCACCATCGCTTCAACAATCAACATACTATGCCATCTTTATGAGTCTCTGGAAGAAATTTTCAGCCGTTTTGGGCCTCGTCTGTCTTGTACAGACCCTATGGCTACTCTCAACCAGCGACAGAGGAGATTACGAAGAAGGAGCAGCCGGGAAAAGCACCCAAACTCCACGAGACTCTGTCCCTCCCTCTTTTAACATGACCCTCTGGCGTTATTATCAACAAATTTTAATACCACCTACTACTGACGTGACTAATGAGAGACTCACGATACTAATGCCTACTTATAAAAGAGCTGACATCCTTCCATCTGTCATTAAGCACTATTGTTCAATGGGGGATAGTGTTGAGAAGATTTTGGTGATTTGGAATGATGTGGAGACACCCATTCCACCGTCTCTTCACTCGCTGAGGTGCGATATTGATGTTTTATTTATTGTCTCGAAGGAGAATAAATTAACTAATCGGTTCATGCCAAGAGATGAAATTGAAACCAAAGGTTAGGGATGATTTTTAGTGTGGGCGGGTAATTAGCGTGGGTGGGCATTGTTGTACTTATAACAAATATTGTTTAGAAATTGGCTTCGACCAATTTTTATAATCTTTCCTGATACATATACATGTTTTTATGTTGTGTAGCAAGTTTGAACTGATTCCAATTAAAATTAGATTTTTTAATGAATTTTTAAAGTTACTCGAAAATTGGGCTAAAGTTCCTGTACTATTAGCCCATGGTTTTTTCCGAAAAATGACCCAGAAATGATCCCTAATTTTTATTACATTTTCTGATACATATTGATGTACTTATGCTGTGTAGAAAGTTTGAGCTGATTCCGACTTAAATTTTTCAAGTTACGGCCATTTTTAAAAATCGACCAAAATCTGAAAAAATCCCTGTACTATAGCCCATGGATTTTTCAAAAAATGGCCGAAAAATCACCCCCATTTTTTATTACATTTTCTGATACATATTGATGTACTTATGCTGTGTAGAAAGTTTGAACTGATTCCGACTTAAATTTTTCAAGTTACGGCCATTTTAAAAAATTGGCCAAAATCTGAAAAAACCCTGTACTATAGCCCATGGATTTTTTCAAAAAATGGCCCAAAAATCACCTCCAATTTTTATTACATTTTCTGATACATATTGATGTACTTATGCTGTGTAGAAAGTTTGAGCTGATTCCGACTTAAATTTTTCAAGCTATGGCCATTTTAAGAAGATGCCAAAATTCTGAAAAAATAATACTATAGTTTGCTTCACAATACTAAAAAGCTATAAAGTAAATGTACATTGTATATGTGTGTGTAACTTTTGTGAGAATTGTGATGGTGTAGGTGTACTGGTAGTGGACGATGACAGACTAATATCGGGTGATGATGTACAGTTCGGTTTCCAAATATGGAAAGTAAGCAAAAAGATGAAAGATGTTTGTTTATTTTTATTTTTTTAATTTTGATTTTTAATTTTTAAAAATTTATTTAATTTATTTATGTTTTATTTTATTTTTATTTTTTAATTTATTTATTATTTTTAATTTTTTGAATTTATTTTATTTTATTTATGTTTTATTTATTTATTTTTTTTTTATTTACTTTATTTTATTTATGTTTTATTTTATTTTTATATTGTTATTTTTATTATTTTTTATTTTTTTATTATTTAATTTACTTTTATTCTATATATGTTTTTTTAAT